CAACAATTCCAGAATGCTGCATTTCCTGACAGCTGTTGTGGGCTCCACTTGTGATGTAAAGGTGAAAAATGACACCATCTATGAGGGTATCTTCAAGAGGCTGAGCTCAAATTTTGAACTAGCAGTGGATGTTGTAGACCAGAAAGCATCTGAGCCAGCAGGTGGTCCTTGTCGGGAGGATATTGTAGACACCATGGTGTTTAAGCCAAGTGATGTCATGCTTGTTCACTTCTGAAATGCTGACTTCAGCTACGCTGCTAAAGACAAGTTCACCCATTCAGCCATCGCCATGAACTAGAAGGGAATGGGTAACACAAAGAGAAGGTGCTTCAGCGCTGGGAGGGGGGTGACAGCAACAGCGACAACTATGACCTCGAGTCCGACATGTCCAATGGATAGGACCCCAATGAAATGTTCAAGTTCAACGAGGAGAACTACGGTGTGAAGACCACCTGTGATAGCAGTCTTTTTTCTTATACAGTGCCCTTAGAAAAGGACAACTCGGAAGAGTTTCAACAGCGAGACCTGCGTTTGGCGCAGTTGGCATGAGAGATTGAATCAAGCCCTCAGTACCGCCTGTGGATCGCCATGGAGAGTGATGATGGGCCACTGGAGTGGAGAAGCACAGGGCGGCCCAATGGCAGTATTCAGGGCAGGAGAGCCCCAGGTTGGCATCCAGGAAGATAAAGTATATCATCCCTCTGCCTCAATGAGTCCAGGAAGGTCCCCAGGGAGGAGTTTGATGCAGCAGCTCTCCGTGTGGTCGGCCTGGCCTTAGCTCTTTGCCACCTCGTGGCCCTCACCATCTGGACAATAGCAACCCTGGCCCAGGTTCTGAGGCCCGTGGTATCAATGGAGGCCCTTCCTGCATGTCCCCAAAGGCACAGAGGCCTCTGAGAGGTGCCAAGACCCTGTCTTCACCCAATAATAGGCCTTCTGGAGAAACTTCTGTTCCTCCTCCTGCAGTGGGCCGGATATATCCCCTGAGTTCTCCCAAGTCTGCTGCCCCTGCCCCAATCTCAGCTTCCTGTCTTGAGCCTCCCACTGGCTTGGCAGTGCCAACATCTTCAGCCTCCATCCCTGTGACCTCATCAGTCTCAGATCCTGGAATGGGCTCCATTTCCTCAGTTTCTCCAAAGATCTCCCTGGCCCCCACAGATGTAAAAGAACTCTCTACCAAGGAACCTGAGAGAACCCTGGAGCCCCAGTAGCTGGCTCAGATAGCTGGGAAAGTCCCTGGTCTTCAGAATGAACAGAAACTATTCCAACTGGAAGAACTCAGAAAGTTTGGGGCCCAGTTTCAGCTTCAGCCCAATAGTTCCCCTGAGAACAGCCTGGATCCTTTTCCTCCCTGGATCTTAAAGGAGGAGGCCAAAGAAAAGGAGAAGGAGATTGATGGTTTGTTGACTTCAGATCCCATGGGGTCCCCCGTCTCCTCCAAGACAGAGTCCATATGGGATAAGGAGGACAAACCACCCCTGGCACCAGCAGGAGGCACTGAGGGCCCAGAACAGCCCCCACCACCTTGCCCAAGCCAAACCGGCAGACCCCCAGTTGGGCTCATCAAAGGATAGGACAAGGATGAGGGCCCTATTGCTGAACAAGTAACGAAATCAACGTTGAACCCCAATACCAAGGAGTTTAGTCCCACAAAGTCTCTGCTGTCTGTGAATAAATCCACCAGTACCCCAACTTCAGGGCCTCGGACTCATTCAACTCCCTCCATCCCAGTGCTGACAGCAGGTCAGAGTGGGCTATACAGCCCCCAGTACATCTCCTACATACCTCAGATCCACATGAGACCAGCTGTGCAGGCATCTCAGATGTATTCGAATCCTGGATCCAATTCAATGTCTGGGCAGCAGGGCAAGTACTGGAGAGCAAAATGCTCCCTGTGCCCATAGCTCTGGGACCAATACCAGCCAGCCTCAGCCCTACCTCGGTGGCTGCTGGCCTGCCTCTGGTGGCTGCCACGCCCTATTCTTCCTACATCTCCTACAACACTCAGCAGTTCCCAGGCCCACCTGCCATGATGCAGCCCATGACCCACTACGCCTCACAGCCGGGGTCTGCCCCTTTGCTTCAAAGCAACCCACGCATGCTGACGTCGGGCAGACATCCCCAGGTTGTTGTGTCATCCTCCACCCCTCAGTACCCTTCTGCGGAGCAGCCCACCCCTCAAGCCCTTTATGTCACTGTTCATCAGGCCTACCCACACTATGCCACACAGCTTCATGCCCACCAGCTGCAGCCGGCTACCATGCCTACCTGGAACCAGACTGCAGCCCCCAGTCCTGTCCAGCATCAGGCAGGAGTGGCTCCACACCTGGGCAGTGGACACCCAACAGTAGAATCTGTACCACCCAGGGGCCCTGGCCGGCATGCTGCCCTCTCTGCCTCTGGGACCTTCTGCCCGGTCCCCTCAGAGCAGCTTCCCCCAGCCAGCCACTGTGTATGCCATCCACCACCAGCATCTGCCCCACGGCTTCACCAACATGGCCCATGTTCCCCAGGCTCATGTCCAAACTGGAATCACTGCAGCCCCGCCCCCTCACCCTGGGGCTCCCCATCCACCCCAGGTGATGCTGCTGCACCCACACCAGAGTCATAGGAGGTCACCCCCAAAGTGCAGTGCCCCAGAGTGGGGTGCCTGCATTCTCAGCTTCCACACTCTCACCCTACCCCTACATCGGACAGCCCCAAGCTCTCACTGACCCCGACTGTCTCCTGACTTACCAGAGTTCAATCTTACCCCTCCCAGCAGCTCCTCTTCCACCCCCTGGGGAACTGAAGACTTTCCTGGCCGAGACCCGAGACCTCCATGAGTGGAGGGAAGAGTGATCTATGCCTCTTCCCCCAGCAGTTCGAACCATTCCCAGTTCCCCATCCCCCCTTTCCCCAGGGGAGCTGGGGAATTCCTGCCAAGCACCTTGAATGGGAGGGGCCTCACAGAGGGCAGCGCCAGGGTCCAGCAGGGGTGGGGGGTTCCTGCTCTGTCCCTGCCTGTCCCCACCCAGTATTGCCCTCCCATCCTCTTATCTACTCCCCTGCTGGACACAGAAGATCTTTTATTTTCTGTTATTTATAACCTCAGACTTAGGTCCCCTGTTCTTTATTTTCCATTAACTTGAGTGACCTGTGTGAGAGACAGATGGATGCCCCAGGAGGATGGCTGGACAAGAACTTTTACTTTTTATTACATAAAAATATAAATAAATAAATAAATAAATAAATAAATAAATATTTAAATAATTGTGAAAGTCAGCCAACTCTTATGGCCTACTTCGTCCCAATAGCTTATAACCTATTCCCATAATATACTTTTTCATATGTACAATTGTCTTTTTAGTTTTTTATTCACGATTTTAAATTGTGAGCATTACTTTTTATAATTTGCTAATTTATACCTCTATTTCCAATATGGGAATCATGTCAAGACTTAGAGTTATAATTTGTTTTATACATTTTTCACAAATCTGACTTCACAAAAGTATGTTATTGCAACACTGTTTTGTGTTTAAGCATTGTGTGTGTGTGCATGAAAACACTGAAACTTCCTCAATAAGTGAAGAGATGTTCTTTTTGTATGTCTGCATTTGCGATATACATTTTACTTTTTGACCTATTTCTTTATGGATATGGTTTGTCTACTCATAACTGTTATACCTGTGCAACTGTCATTAGTATAACTGAGTGCTTATACTTGCAAAAATGTATATGTCATTATTGCCTATTTTATTGTATTAAGTAGCCTATAAAATGTTCTGTAGATATAATGTTTCTCGAACAAATCTGTTTTTAAAAATGTAAACAAATGTCTTTTAATTTTTTTAAATTATTTTTTCTAGAATTACATTTTTGGGACTATGTCTTTTGTCTTTTGGATTATGGCCCAAGCCCAAGCAAGAGAATGCTTCAAATCTTTCTATCACCTAATCTTGGAAGCCAAAAACAACCACTTTTGTCATGATACCAGCTACTCACCTACATGAATGGGCAAATCTTTGCGTTTTCTTTATTCTAGCTGCAACCTTCTTCCAGGGACCATATCTGAATTTTTAGACTCTGGCCGTGCACAGAATGATAAGTGCCCACAGGTGAATGAAGGCTGTAGATTCTCAATGTCAATTCATTATTCCTTCTAGGCTTTCATCTCTTGCCTGTTTTGATTCCAGTCCACTTCTACAGTGTGTCTGTGTTTCCCAAGCACCATCAGCTAGAGGGAGATGTCACTCTGCCCTTTGTAAGCTTTTTATCTAGCTCCTTAGGGAAAACTGTAATGAATTTGAGTTATGTTCAATGTCCACTTTTGTCACTCAGTACTAGGCAACTGCTAAAAGCATTTGGATTTTTTTTTCCCTAAGGAGCAAGTTTCTGGCTATACCAAACCCAGGTCGTTAGCCAGAACTGGCAAATATCTCCAGAGAGGAGAGTCAAAAATAGTACACTAGATAAGTTAATTGTGTTATATAGTCTTACAGTGAAATACTATATAGCAGTAAGAATGATAGAATCATTGCTTCTAGCAACAACATGGATGAAGCTTACAACGTCAAGTGAAAACAGCCAGACACAAAATATTCATCTTCTACGATTCCATTTATATGCCTTTTGAAATCAGACATGGTTAATTTATTGTCTAGAAATCAGGACAGTGATTACTTTGGAAGGGTGAGTAGTGACTGGTACAGGAAGGAGGGAGCTTTCAGAGTCCTAATAGTGTTCTATTTCTTGATCTAGCATGCCAGTTACATAAACATGTTCAATTTTTAAAAATTCATTGAATTAGACACTTATGAATTTTATACATTTCTGTATACATTTATACTTAACCAATTTTACATTAAAAAACCTAAAATGTAAGAATTATTTTTCATTATTGGTGTTTCTGTTTACATTTAAATATCTCAAATAATATCATAGTAGTATGTAATATGCTAAGTCACGGGGAAGTTTAATATACAACTGAAAACCACTACGATTTCTAGAAATACCAGGGCTCATCTCAGTGTAACTGTGAGCATTTGAGCCGGTTCTGTGCCTTCCTCTTCGAGGTATCTTTCCTCTCGTGTTGGAACTGTGTTCCAGTTCATAGAGGTCAAAGTCATCACTGATCTCTTCATGGACCTCACAAAAACAGCATCTTCTGGGTCATCGAACACAGTTCTGCAAAAAAAGCAATTATGTCAGAAAAAAAGCAATCAAAAATGAAAATTTGACCAAAATGAAATTTTTATTCAAATGCATTAATGCCATGTTTTTCTGTGTTATTTGTGTTATTAGTTGTGTACCACTAACAAATAATTTGCAGGCTCCACTGACAAATGACTTTCAGGCTAAGTGACACTATTTATATTGTATATATTGTTTACTTTATACATGAAGTATCTGAACATATTTGGGGATCAATTAGTTACAGTTAAGGTCTCACATACTAATGCACTCATGTTTTAAAACCATGTTAAATGAGATGATTAAAATATTTATAGATATATGCATATTATTATCTTAAGTTCACTGCATTCCTAAGTTTTTTTCTACATTATGCCATATTTTATAAATGTATGTGGAGATAATATTCCATACTGTATCCAAAAAAAAAAAAATCTTAAGTGAAAAAATAAAAAGGAATGATGACTCTAAATTCATCAGTATTCATGAATTTGAAAAGTCTTCTATGGACTTTTAGTGAGGTGCTTGCTTTTGGAAATGTAAATTCCAATGAATATAAAATATAAGTCTACATGATAACTGCTATGACCGAACATATTTAGAGAATAGCTAAACGAGGAATGTACAGCCCCACTTTCAGAATAGCTAATAGTTAAGATTTAGTTTTTATTATTTTATTTTTTGAAACAGAGTCTCACTCTGTCACCCAGGCTGGAGTGCAGTGGCGTGATCTAGGCTCACTGCAACTTCTGCCTCCTGGGTTCAAGTGATTCTCCTACCTCAGTCTCCCGAGTAGCTGGGATTATAGGCGCCTGTCACCACGCCCGGCCAATATTTTGTATTTTTAGTAGAGGCAGGTTTTCACCATGTTGGCCAGGCTGGTCTCGAACTCCTGAACTGAGGTGATCTGCCCATCTCATCCTCCCAAAGTGCGGGGATTACAGGCATGAGCCACTGCGCCCGACCGAGGTTTATTTTTCTAAGCATCAAATTATCTTTTTACTTATTTGGGATTTTGATAGTAATATTAAAAGCCCAAGTATGTCAAATATGAATACAGAGCTTGAACTCATTCATCACAAAAAGACCTACCAATTTTTCTCATTTATTGAAGAGTGAGTCATTTTTCAACTCATTAAAATCTATTTTAGGAAATGGAGATGATTTAAAGGGACAACACAATTATGAAATAATCTGATAATAAATGTATAGATAAAATTACTTACTTGTCTACATTATTTGCAAATCCAAAATCTAAAAAAAAATACATTTTAAAGTTAGTATTTTAAAATATTTATCCAGCATTTGAAAACAACTGAACGATGCTATAAAGGAAAAGTATAAAACAGGGCTTTCTGTTTTCAAGTTATCCTTTACATAAATAGTTCAATCTGTCAAAAATCCCTTTTTATCTAACTCCAAAGCAAAACTTTCTCTTAGATATACTGGGTTTTCCCTTAGGTTTTGAGGCAATTTTTTAAATACAATATAAATTTCAAAATTCTGAGAATGGAAAGCTTAGTCAATTTATAATGTACCAATGGAATCCAAGTGGAAATTTTTGTAATTAATATACTGAGGCTAATATAAGATACTGAAACCTATCCCTTTTCTTCTGAAAGGCACATGCGTCTATAAATGGACTAACAGTCCAAATGAGGAGAAATAGTTAGGAACATTTCAACTATTTGGATTCTTGGCATTAACTGTAAAGAAACAGAATAAACAAATACTAGATCACAAGAATCTAGATCTTCCTAGCTTTGAAGCTCCAAGACTAGTCCTCAAAACCTGGATTTCTTATGGTGTCTTCCAGAGATGGTCACTGCTTTGTTGATTTCCCTCCAGAAAGCCTAGTGCCCGTCCACAGATGGATTTTACCAGCACCTGTTGTGCCAGTAAAGCCCACAGTATCAGCTCTTGCCATTCCACAAGCAACAGCGACCACACAGCCTCTCTGCCTTAGAATTCATAGCATTGTTCCCTTCATAAGTGGCTGACAAAAGTCTCTCGTGCATTTTGGATCATCCTAGGCTATCTTTTCCTACGTTTTCCTCCCAGCTTTATTGAGGTATAATTGACAAATAAAAACTGCATATATTTAAGGTGTACAACTTGATGTTTTAATATACATATTCATTGTGAATAATCAACACAATCTAAATAACATATTCATCAGCCAGACCTCTGCCATTTTTTGTGTGTATTGGTGAGAACACTTAAGATCTACCCTCTTAGTAAATTTCAAGTATACAATACAGCTAACTATCGTCATATTACGTAAGATCTTCAGAATTTATTCATTTGTGTAATATAATTTAAATTTTGTACATTTTAACTAACATCTCCCCATCTCCCCTTCCCCACAGCGCCTGGCAACCACCATTTTACTCTCTGCTTCTATGAGTTTGACTATTGTAATTCCATATATAAGTGAGATCATGAAGTATTTGTTCTTCTGTGTCTGTCTTATTTCATTTGGTATAATGCTCTCCAGTGTCATCCATATTGTCAAAAAATGACAGGACTCCCCTGTTCTCTTCTACATTTTTAATTACAAAAAGCACATACTTTACTTATAATGAATATAAACAATAAAGAAAATAGTGAGCAAAAAGGGAAATTTCCCTTTAACCTTTCCACTTCCTCTTAAATATCACTATTAAAAATTTTGTGTGTATGTTTCCAGCCTGTATGTCACATATGTACTCACATGTCTACATGTACATATACATAGAGATTTGTTTGTTGACAAAATTCCAGTTTTGTTATTACTCATAGTATACTGCTTTTCCAATGAGTATGGTTTTTGTTTTTTGTTTTCGTTTGAGACGGAGTCTCTCTCTGTTGCCCAGACTGGAGTGCAGTGTCATTATCTCGGCTCACTGCAACCTCTGCCTCACTGCAACCTCTGCCTCCTGGGTTCAAGTGATACTCCTGCCTCAGCCTCCTGAGTAGCTGGGATTACAGGCGCCTACTACCACGCCCGGCTAATTTTTGTATTTTTAAGAGAGACGGGGTTTCACCATGTTGGCCAGGCTGGTCTCAAACTTCAGGTGATCTGCCCACCTTGTCAAGGTGTTTTTAATACCCCCAAATATATTATGGATTGATTCTATAATGGAATAGTTTGTATTATACAAATGTGCCATAGTCTATTTAACATTCTCCTATGAATGACCATTTAAATTGTTTCTACTACTTTTGCTATTATAAAAAATATTGCAACATGTAGACTTATACCCATATATTTTTTTTTTGTCCATATGTGCAAGCACTTCTGTAAGGGAGAGATCAAATTTAGTTGCTGTGTCAAATGGTTTGCACATTTTGTATGTTGGTGGATACTGCCATATGGTCATCCAAGAGAGTTGAACGAGTTTACATTCCCATCAATAACATGAATTGTGCTCTTTCCCCCTCATCTTTAACAACCCTTTAAAACTTCTGCCTACTTGTTGGATAAAAGTAGTATCTCATTGTTTTCATTTCCACTTATTTGATCATTAGTGAAGGTGATCATTATTTACATTTCTTTCTTTGTACATATGTCTTGTCCATGTCATTTATTTTGTTTTCTACTGGGATTTTTAAATTGACTTGGAGATGTCCTTTAGAAATTATGGGTGTTAACTTTTGCCTATTATATATGTTATAAAGACTTCTTCCAATCTTGCATTTTAATTTTCTTCCTATATGATGCTTTTTATTTTTAATTATTGTGGATACATGCTAGTTGTACATATTCATGGGATACATATAATTGTTTTTCATTTTTATGTAGTTAAATCTGTCAACATTTCTCTTTGATGGCCTCTGGGTTTTGTGTGAGGTTTTGATTGGCCTTCACTTTGGGATTATGAAAGTATTTTCTTCCAGTACTTTTTTATTTCCTTTACATTTAGATATTCGATCTCTCTGGAATCTATTTTTGTATATGGTGTCTCCCTTAGAAAGTAGTTCTAGTTTATCTCTTTGGCCCAGGGCTACTTTCTGGCACAATTCTAGAGGGGGCCTCAGTAAATGTTTGCTGTGCTAAGAGTGTCCATTGAAGTTATGCAACATGGAAGCTCTGTTGACTGCTGATTTTTGCTTTCACAAATTTTTCTGAGTCTACACAGCTCCCTCAATTGCTCAGCCCTATGCCAAACAATCTCTAGATCTCACATTGACCTCTAATACCTACCTGAACCTTCATGCATAGGTAGGGGTTGGCATTTACTCTTCTGGGTGTGCCTGGTATATCATAGCTACCCAAAGTCAGAAACGTCTTCAAGACTTGATTTCCTGAGCCATTGATCTCCCAGCTCATAACTTTCAATTATCTGTTTTCTCTGGATTCTGTCCTGCCTTGTCTGTACTGATGCACTTTTTGGTGAATTGCTGTTTGTTAAATAGTCTGCCTGGTCTTCCTTTTTGGACTTACCCTTCCCTTTTCCTGAATAGTACATGCCTCAGCTGCCAGGCCCAGGCTCTGTGACACTATACCCCAGCTTGGGCTCAGCACCTGGAGCTCTGTCTTCAGCAAACATGGTGGAAATCTGGCAGCCTCACTTTTGGACCACTAATGGACATTTTAAAAGCTTGTTGGTGTTTTATTTTAAATTCCCCTTAATGTCTTTCTACATCTAGATATATTGGTGAAAAATCTGCAAATGAGTTTCCTTAATGCCAGGTAGAAGCCCAAAGTGTTTCGGTTCTGAGAATACCGGCTATCTTGCAATAAAACCCAGAGACAGTAATGAAAATTTGTACAACCCTTTTAACCATACTTATTTGATAAGGACTGATAGATGGGATTTGAAGAAAACTTAAAATTGATCTTGCTTCTCAAGATACTAGAAATATAATTGGTTTCTTTCTCAACTTTAGATTAAGTATAATAAAATCAAAATGTGGCTTTATGATTGCTTCATAAACATTTTTAAGTGTAATTTCTTTTCAATAAAATAATTAATATTTCTCTTAGAATTACTCTAATAATTTTTTAGAAAGTCACAATAAGGTAAAATTTATAACAAAACAAATATAGAAGCTACAAAATGATATGATAAATTTTAAAAATTTACATAGTGTGTTTTACTATAAATGTTTGCTTAATTAAGGTATGCTAAAATAAGCCATACTCTGGGCTAAAAATACTTTTTAGTTGTTATGATATAGTGACCTTTTGCAGAAAATGAGTAGATTTATAATAATTGTCCTGTCAATTATTAGAGGCTTTAGTCAACATATCTGTTAATTAAGAAGAAAAAGTTTCAAATGCAATAAAATACTCTCCCTATCTTTTCTGCTCCTGATTTTGTTTTTGGAGGTTCAATATGAAAAGGAGCCAAGAGAATTTAAAAAACGATTCTAGTTCTTTCAGCAGTCTGGTTAAACAAAAGAAATGTAGAGCCCTAAAGGTGGTGATCACACCGATAATAATTATAGCACTGAAAAATAGATTGTGGGGGCTGACCTTGCATTGTTTGTTATTGTGTGCATTAACTGTTTTTAAGAGGGGAGATTTTCTATCTAAAGACTACTTTCCTTCCACAGCATGGTCTACTCCGATAACAGACATCAGTCAAATACATGTAAGATTTAGATTGGTTCAATCTGGATGGACAAGACAACTCAAAGCAGGGTGAGTGCTGCTATTCCAGGTCAGAAGGTAGAGTTAAACATTTTCCGACTGGCAATTGGTTGAAAGAGTTATTATCAGTAGAAATGAATGGGTTACGAAAAGGGGTTGTGGAGATCAAGGCTTTATCATCCAGATGAAGCTTCCAGGTAGCAGGCTTCAGAGAGAATAGACTGTAAATATTTCTCTTTTTCTCCTTCCTTCCTTCCTTCCTTCCTTCCTTCCTTCCTTCCTTCCTTCCTTCCTTCCTTCCTTCTCTTTCCTTCCTCCCTCCCTCCCTCCCTCCCTCCCTCCCTCCCTCCTTTTCTTTCTTTTTCTGAGGCAGAGTCTTGCTCTGTCACCCAGGCTAAAGTGCAGTGATGCGATCTTAGCTCACTGCAACCTCCAACTCCCAGGTCCAAGCGATTCTCCTGCTTCAGCCTCCCAAGTAGCTGAGATTACAGGCGCCTGCCACCATGTCTGGCTAAGTTTGTATTTTTAGTAGAGATGGGGTTTAACCATGTTGGCCAGGTTGGTCTCAAACTCCTGACCTCAAATGATCCACTTGCCTCAGCCTCCCGAAGTACTGGGATTACAAGCGTGAGCCACCATGCCTGGTGAGTTAGACAACTGCAAATATATAGGAACATTTTAGTATACTTTCAGTTTTGGGAAACATGTGCAGAACATGCAGGTTTGTTACATAGGTATACATGTGCCATGGTGGTTTGCTGCACCCATCAACCTGTCCGTTACATTAGGTATTTCTCCTAATGCTATCCCTCCCCCGGACCCCCAGCCCCCAGCAGGCCCCAGTGTGTGATGTTCCTCTCCCTGTGTCCATGTGTTCTCATTGTTCAACTCCCACTTATGAGTGAGAACATGCGGTGTTTGGTTTTCTGTTCTTGTGTTAGTTTGCTCAGAATGATGGTTTCCAGCTTCATCCATGTCCCTGCAAAGGATATGAACTCATCCTTTTATATGGCTGCATAGTATTCCATGGTGTATACGTGCCACATTTTCTTTATCCAGTTTATCATTGATGGGTATTTGGGTTGGTTCCAAGTCTCTGCTATTGTAAATAGTGCTGCAATAAATATACGTGTGCATGTGTCTTTATAGTAGCATGATTTTTAATCCTTTGGGTATATACCCAGTAAAGGGATTGCTGGGTCAAATGGTATTTCTGGTTCTAGATCCTTGAGGAATGCCACATTGTCTTCCACAATGGTTGAACTAATTTACACTCCCACCAACAGTGTAAAAGCATTCCTATTTCTCCACATCCTCTCCAGTATCTGTTGTTTCCTGACTTTTTAATGATCTACATTCTAACTGGTGTGAGATGGTATCTCGTTATGGTTTTGATGTAAAAACTTCTGATCACTGTTTTCTGACTTCCACGATTGTAGCTGGGGAGTTTGTGGTGAATCTCTATGTTATTCTTTTGTAGGTCATCTGGGTTTTCTCTCCGACTGCTTTAAGATGGTTTTGCCCTTGGTGAAGACTTTTGTTGTTGTTGTTGTTGTTGTTGTTGTTATGTGTCTTTTTTGTGTTTGGATTCATTTTGTCTGGTGCATCTATGAATTCTTTGCTAATTCTGGTAATTGTCTGGGCGGTCTAAGAATTTATTTAACAGTTTGGGAAATTTTCCAGCCATTATCACTTTAAACATTACCTTCTGCTAATTTCTATCTCTAATTTGTTTTTCAGGAACTATTACTAAGCTTATATTGGACCTTCTCTTTCTAATGTCTCTCCTTTTCTCAATATCTAATTCATATCTTCTATCGCTTTCTTTCTCCATGTAGTATTCTGGGTAATTTCTTCCAAACTATTTTTCAATTCAATTTCCCCTTTATTTCTAAATAATTGATTTGGTTTTTTAAAAAATGTATGTTGTCTCATTGGCAAAGTGTCATAAAGATAAGGATTTTACCTTTGCACCTTTTCTCATCCACCCTCTCTTCCTTCCTGGAATGGAGATGTAAGGCTTGGTGGTATACCAACCACCTTGTAATCATAAAGCACACTAAGAATAGCAGAACAAAAGACAGATATATCCTCAAACACTGATGACATCATAGAACTTTAACCCTAGATACCGTATTTTTGTATTCTTTGCTGTCTGAAAAAACTAAACCCCTATTTTTTTCCATTTCTGTTACAAATATGAAATTAAATTCCTACTAAGGAAACATCCTGAAAATATTCAAGTTATACTTGCATATAATGACCTTGTGAATATAATCAAAATATTACCAGTGCTTATTTCTGGATGGCAGAATTGCAGATGATCTTTATTTCTTCTTCGTATTTTTTCTATATTATCAAAAATTATATAGCCTTAATTGGTAAAATCATCCATGTCAGTGGTAATAAAAATAACGATAGCTTATTTATTGAGCCCTTTATACTGTGTTAGATACTGAGATAGAGGCTTCAATGTATTATCTCATTATTATCACAGCACCCCATTTGATTTCACATGCATGAATGAGGATGAAAATTGCATACCTACTTTAACTGGACTAAAAGTATTATAAAGTTAGCAAATATATTAGAAATTATTCCATTATTTAGATACTTAAGTTTATTGTAAATTATAGTTGCTATTATGACAATCAAATTACCCAAAAGTTTGAGAAGTTTTAATTTCATTAAATTTTTTTTTTTTTGCAAAATACCTGAAGGTACTCTCTGGGCTGGTTTTTGCTTAAATGGTGATTTAGGACCCCACGAAGCATCTACTTTTCCTCTGAATGCTATTGATTGAACGATATGAGCCTTTTTATGGTTAAAAATGGTAATCATTGATCTTCTTTCTTTTTCTGTAACTTCTGATAAATGCAAAAAGTAATGTTATTGCATAGCATTATAAATAGGCAGAGTGATTCAAAATAGAACTGAATACTTTCAAGAATGTATTTATCTAAACTATGCTATATGTGAACATCCTGTCAAAATTGTTCTGTAAAGGGGCTATCACAGTTATTTCCATAATCTTACAAGCACTCAATATACACCCCACACGTCACAAGACAGAGCTTAATCCTTCAGTCTAATGCATCCCGAACACCCTTTAACACATCACCAAGGATGATTAAAATTTTAGCATGAAACATCCTTTCATTTCCTCAAGGCTATTAGAAAGGAGAGGTATAACCGTAAGTTTCTGATGTATCCTATAGAAAGTGGTTACTCAGTAATAAATTATTAAGAATGTTCAAACCTGTAGAGACAGAAAGGTAAGTAGATAGATAATATAGCATTTGGGAGCAAAATAGGCCTCAAAAAATGTTAAGCGTAATATGCTGAGGTTGATTGTGTGTGTGTGCATGTGGCATATAGAAATCTGACATGCTATCTTGAAGGTGCATTCATAAAGAAGTCATCATTCATTGTATGTTTCAATATATACATATTTACAGAATTTTAAAAAGCATGACTTTTAGAACTTAAATAGGCCTTATGAGATTTATTCCAATTCCCTCACTTTTGAGATAAGAAACTAAGGTGCCGGGAGGTAAACGATGTGGCATCCAACATGTTAATGTCAAAACCAGAACCAGAAGGACCACTTTCCTCATGCTCAGAGGGCCTTTCTAATCAAGTAGTAAAGAGATGTGAATTTCTAAATCAGGGCACATTTTAGAGAGCAAATCTTTCAAAAATAAGTAATTGAAAAACTTTCATTTACAAAGACAATTTTCAAAGGGATAGTTTTTACAAAAACGTATTTTCAAAGGTAGTCTTCATTTATAACCACTGAGCTATAAGACTACTTCTCAAATATTTCTTTGCAAGAAGGAAGGGTCCTTACGATTTCGGTCAAGCAGCTCCACTCCTGGAAGGTGGTAGATGATATATAAACGATACAGGTTATATTGGCACAAAGGATTTTGGTATAGACCTGCAAATGAAGAATCCAAAACAAAATGTCAGATTTCAAAATCCGTTTCACGTATCACTTATAAAATACGAAAAATTAAGAGATTCATATAAAACATAAGAACTTATAAAGCTCTTCTTCATATCCAGCAATAGACCCATGAAACCTTTACTTAGAGCAGCAGTTAATTTTTCTATCTGTTCAATTCATTCATTCAACAAATATTAACCAAGTGCTTACTATCTACTAGGAACTGTGCTAAGGGCTATGATCATATCATTGACCCAAATCTGCCACAAATGAGGGAAATTTTTAACATGTCCATAAATAAATTAGTAAATGAAGAACTAGATATCAGCTCTATTGGAGTTTTGAGGCTACTTTTTATTAAAATATCACTTGGTAGTCTTCTTTTGGTCTCCAAGTTCACAAGGGTGCATGCGTGAAGATAGGCAGAGACAACAGCCTGCTCTAATAGAATTTATTTCCTCCACACCATTGCTCATAGTTCAGAATGTGTCGATAGTAGTTTCAGATCTCAGCAGGACCAAAGCTGAGCAGATGTGGCTCTTGCATTTTGTCTATCTCTGGCCAGGCACGTGCATTTCTGAGATCCTGGTGTGCAGGTGCTAGGATGTGCGATAAACCGCACTTCCTAATGGAGTGGTTGGAAGAATGAGGCATGTGGATGCAGAAGAAGCCCTAGCACTTCTCACATCATATCCCTTGGGAATCAGCACATAGGTGTTCTTAAACATCTTCAACTAGAAGTTGTGAGGGCTTTATTTTTTTAAAAATGATATTTTCTCTATTCATCCTAGATGATAATAAACTTTTTTTTTCAGCACAATGTGAAATAAAACTTTAAAGATTTACAGTTGGGCATTTTTTTTTTTTTGGACAGAGTCTTGCTCTTGTTGCCAGGCTGGAGTGCAATGGCATGATCTTGGCTCACTGCAACCTCTGCCTCCCGAGTTCAAGCGATTCTCCTGCCTCAGCCTCCTGAGTAGCTGGTATTACAGGCACCTGCCACCACACCTAGCTAATTTTTGTATTTTTAGTAGAGATGGGGTTTTTCCATGTTGGCAAGGCTGGTCTCAAACTCCTGACCTCGTGATCCGCCTGCCTTGGCCTCCCAAAATGCTGGGAATACAGGCATGAGCCACCGTGCCTGGCTGGGCATCTTTAGTTATTCGGATCCTACCTATGTGCAATTTCTAGGAAATACTTCTGAAAATACAACTAATGAGGAGAACCACTAGATGGCAGTAGGAGAAAGAGCTCCAGCTACTGCACAACTACTTCACTCAAAATGAAGCTCACTTAATGTACATGTGAAATTTAAGAATACTGTTGTAGACTAGTCATAAAATACAAAGAGGTTTGATAAAGGCCTGAAAATAGGAAGCATTAGAACCTCTGAAAAAAACTGATTAATATTTATAAAGAGCAGTTTGTAACATAAAGAAGATTGGGGTGGGTGCATGCTTAAAAGATAACAAACTAGATAAAAACTTAAAAAAGGTCAATCATCTGGAAGTTTTCTCTGTAGTAATAAAACATTCTGATATTTGTTGTATAAACACAACTTTTTCTGGCTAATAAAAGCGTTCTATATAGCTATTCCCTGTGGAAAACACGAGCTTTAGAGGGACATAAAGCAGGCAATGGAAGACACCTGGTGCATAATAAACAAAAGTTTCAGGAATGAGGAAAGGCATACAGGAAAATGTAGAGCCAGGAGCCACAGAGAAATTTAAAAGAAAGGAAATATGTATGTAATGGAGAAAATGAGAAGACAAAACAATTTTTTTTTTCAAGATTTCTTAAGTGACAGAAAATGATCTGAATTTTATTCTTAAAAGAGAAGCATTTTAAAGTGGTAACAAATAATTATAACTGAAGGACAGGGAATAGAACAGATATATATTAAACCACTAATAAGGACAGATTTTAAAAGAGCCATCTGGATCATGAATTGTAGTTCGAGCCAGAGAAAGTAAAGAAAAGGACCCTCTTCAAGGATATAAAAGCAAAGCATGATTGTTTTTCATGAGAACTCAGAAGGAAGAAAAAGTCACAGATGCTTTAGCACAGAAGTCTGCTTTGTGGTTACTGTCTTGGGGAATCACATCTGACACCTCATAACCCTGTTACACATTATAGCATCTGGAAGTAGAGTCTGCCTTTACATATGACGTTAATGGAAAATGTACCAACATCTTTCAATGACATTTTCTCTAGGTGCACCCTTCGTCTTCTCTTTTCCCTTTGAGGACATTACTATCCATTTCATTTCATTTCTTGGCTTTTTCTGCTAAGCCTTGGTTAAGTAACTTCTATACGGAAATTCAAAAACTAGCTTCAGCTAAATAAAACACAAAACTTGGATTTACTACTGTTACATTACTTATTAACAACATACTGATACTAAAAACCCTATGGACTTGTGGTTGACCATTCATCTCATCACAAAGTCAAAACTGAATGACACAAAATCAGAAATCTGAACTGTTAGCCCAGCCTCTGCTTAAATTAACTTAAAAAAAATTGAATTAAATAACTTGAAAGGCATTTCATCATTATTATTCACTGTTTCCTAGCTCTTAAATTTTAGAAGGAAGCAATCTTATTTTTAACTCTCTTTTTTCCTCCTATACTATGAAACATTTAACATTTTGGATTTATGAGTTTTGGATTGATGCTACTAAAATCAACATAAATTAAATGTCTAAGATGTGAAATCGGTTTCCTGTGTCTGAATGTTCTGAAAGCCTTCTATGATGTACGGGCACATTCTTTTAGAAACTATGAAGAGAAATTGCTTACACTTTCACTTTCAATAGGTTAATACTATTTAATCCACCTTCTCTCTAGGCTACTTACAGTGTACACCTCAGTGGCGCCAGCACTGTCTTGCTTATCTTAATTTGGGATTCTGAGTCTAAGCAATTTACATTTACCCAATGATATATCAGAATGTCTCTACTACCTTACCACACAAGCTTGACTTACATGAGTCACGTGTATGAAGCCACTTATTATCAAGACAGAAGGGGAAAAAAAAGATATCTAAATAATTGGCTTCAGTTAGTTTTTTGTAAACTTTTAAAGCAGTATTTAAAATCGTTATTTAAATGAACCCCAATGTTTTTAAGGCTGCCTTCGAAGAAAGTTGATGTAATTAATAAGAGACCAACATCCCAGTTTTAATATATGAGAAAAAGAAAATGACATGGAGAAGTTAAAAGCCTATTATAGAGAGCAGCCTGTGGAAGGAAGTTCAGCTGTCAATAATCAGATACCAGGATTGTGAGGCTCTGGGTCAAGCTTACTTAGTAAGGTCAGCATCTCCATTGTTAATCATCATCTTGTTTTAACTAAAAATCTGGTGGCCACCACACACCATGTGCTTTTTACTGAATATGGAAATCACCCCTGGTTGTAAAAGGCAAACTAGGATAAAGCAGAGGATCGAGAGAGGAGGGATCAGAACATTATCTTTTTCAGGACAAACAGTAGTGAAAAACACTCTTGGTTCTTTTTCTTTGCTGAATCGTTTTGTCTTTTGGGAGGGGTGGTCCCACCTGGAAGGGTATTATAGGAAAAGAGGCTCAAAGGAAGGGACCCTGGAGATCCTAGTCCCACCCCATCTCCCAGCATCCCTCTGCACTGCTGGCTGTTTGCCATCGGCAGTGGATTGGGGCCACTGCTAAAGACAGACAATGTTTAAAAGCAATACCTGTGGAAACATGGAGACCCTCTCTCGAAAGGAGGAGCTCCCTGTTCCCAATGCTGATTCCTGGAAGCTCCAGTAGGAAGCAGGTCTTAACAATTATGGCATGCAGGAGTCTTAAGCATACTTTCCAACAGTGGAGCTTAATAAAACAGAAAATTAGAAAGAAATGAGAAAACTGAAGGTTTAGAACAGGAGACTGGCTTAAGCATTTTGATGCTGTGGCTTTTGGTGGTGGTGGTTTTTTTCCCCTTAGTACTGGAAAGGAGGCAGGAGTTAATGAAAGCCATTAGCCACAAAGTGGGTCTTTGACACATGTGGATTCTGATTTAGAAAGAATTTGGAGGAGGGAAGGGAAAGGAAGAGGAAAACTGAGTTGGAAATAGAGGGTGTGGAAAGGTAGACTGCCTGGAGAGAAGAGGTGGAGTCCCCTGACTCTGCCCGGAAGACAGGAATTCCAGTTCCCAGGACCTCACACTCTGCAGCTGGTTTAGGCCTCCCTGAAGCTCTCAGCCATGCGTCTCCTAGGCAATCCTTGGCAATTCTCCTCATAAATGCCAATGGAAAGTGCAATGTTGAGAATGGATTAGTGTTTTGCCCTTCAGGCTATTTTCTCACCCTCTGAAGAACTTGTCATTTAAGTGAAATAATAACAACACTTTATAATTGCACATGGATTTACAACTTAAAAAGACAAAAATGACCACATTTGAAAACACATAGATTTCTCATTTTAGTTAATGAGCTAAAGCTAATCTGTGATTGCAAATGAGGCTCATAGAAACTTAATCTGAAGACATGACTGCACAAATAACATTAGTTATCTAATAAATACAATCTATTTTCCATGCAACATCTTTAACCGAAATGGGACATGAGTTCAAAATGTGAATTTTTAGAAAACGCTTTTTGTTTTTTGTAATTGGACATAACATTTTCTCCATTTCAAACAGATGATCCCACAACAAGATTCTCAACTGGAAAATTACAGTTACATAACTTGAATTGCGTCACTATGATTTTAAATAGTGGTCGTAAACTATTGTGACTGGTAATGATATGGACATTAAACTACCAGACTGGTATTTAAAAACTAGAAAACTCCCACCCCTTATGCCTGGCACAATTCTATGCTCACGTACACCCTTGACAAGTAGGGCATGGGCTAGATTTCAGGATCTATTTGGTCCTGGGCTGGGCACCTTTGTTCAAGGCATAACCTTGTTTATTACTATGGGCATAACTCTGTTTATTACTATGGGAGTAAGCTTGTTTACTACTCTCCAAATGTTGTTTTATAACAAGTTTCCTCAAATTATAGAGTTTTTAAAGTAGCAAATCATTTTGCATCAAACCCCTTCAACTCTAAGAAATATTTAGTCTGAGTGTTACAAATTTGTAAGCCCTATATAGGTATAGACTGGGTCTTTCTTGTTCAAATTTGAGTCCTATTATCTAGAATAGTATCATGTAGCGAATGTGTGATAAACATTTATTAAATGAATGAATACATTATAAATATTTATTGAATGAATGAATAAATAAATAAATGATAAGTAAAACAAGGCATGAATTTGTGTTTCAACATTCCTTAAGAGTTTGGTTAAATCTGTGAGCTTTGCATTTCCATGATTAAAGGGAATAATTCTAGTCACATCATAGGATGCGGTAAAGATTTAAATGAGACTATAATAAAACATTTTTTTCAACAAGAAAGACATTCAAACATGTTACTGTATGATTATTATTTAAAATAGCAGTTGTTTTCTTGAGTCTATTAGCAGAATTTCGAGACTGGATACAACTTATTTCGTTATCTGATTTACATAATCCACAATAAAACAATTTTTTTCTTATTTTAGAATTTCAATTTTTGTTGTTGCTTCAAAATAACATTAATAGTGAGAAATGTTTTCTTAAAAAGTGTTTACAGAGTTATCCTAATGTTTAAAGCAACCCTGAGAGGTAGCTGTCAGCCCATTTTATAGAAAAACAAAGGTAAGTGTCCTAGGTCTAGCATAACTAGTCTTTTAATTATAGCAGCATTTTTTCAGCCGATATGGGCCAGGTAACTCAAATATGCAGGCCAATTCTTTCACAGAAGATCCAAAAGCTGTAAAAAAACTCCTGACAGCAGGCAGCCTTCTCATGTCTCCAAAATAAGCATAAAATTGCCATGAACTTGGTGTAATTTTGTGATTTTAATACTTGGGTTTAAATAATCTAACTATAACAAATGAATCATTTTCCCTCAGTATAGTACATATAACTGACAACACTGAAAACATATGGAAACTTTGGTAACTCTCTCTACATTGATCTGATTATCTGATTAGAACCTTCACCATCAATACTAGTTTACAACTATTCAAAATACTGTCTCAGGCAATTCTGAGAAATGAATAGAAAAGGAATTTAAAAATATATCTATTGCATTACATTATTATAAAGAGGTCTCTAAAGTCTGAAAACTTCCTCTTTGATCTGCAGGTCTTTCACCTTAGTAAAAGACCTTTATCTTGAATCCTTTATCTTGTATTGTGGTTGTATATATGTTTATCTACCCTTCAAGACCATAAGCTTATTGAGAGTAGGAGTAGTGTATTATTTATTTTTTTGACTCATCTCACACTTCTTTTCAATAGGTTCGTTCCTTACTGGGTGTGATTCAATATATATGAATAAAGTTTGCTGGTTATCCAGTTGAAAGTTTAAAAAGTCTTCTGTTTTTTTTTTTTTTTGGATCAGCTTTATTAATATACTTCATGTACCACACTATTCACCAGTTTAAACATATGATTCATGTGTTTGTGGTATATTCACAAAGTTATGCAACTGATCACCACAGTCAATTTTAGTTCATTTTATCACCCCCAGAATAACCCCACACCCTTTACTCTCCGGCTGTCACAACCCCCAATTCCTTGGCCATTGGCAATGCTCATCTATTTAAAAACAGTTACCTCTCAGTGTTGCTGTCCTATAGATGTGCCTGCTTGGACACTTATATAAATGGAATCATATAATATGTGTTAAAACTTACATTTGAGATAAAACCCAAAATAAATTTAAACATGTAAATCCTCTTGCTACTTTTTTCATTTTCATTAGACATATGATAGATAGCATTTCACACACAAAAATTTTTCTATCTGTTGTTTTTTCAAAAGCATGTCTTAAAAGACAATAAGATCTACTCTTATTTTCAGGAATATCTAATTTTTTTTTTGAGACAGAGTCTTGCTCTGTTGCCCAGGCTAGAGTCCAGTGGTGCAATCTTGGCTCACTGCAACCTCTGCCTCCCAGGTTCAAGCGATCCTCTGTTGCCCAGGCTAGAGTCCAGTGGTGCAATCTTGGCTCACTGCAACCTCTGCCTCCCAGGTTCAAGCTGTCCTCCCGCCTCAGCCTCTTGAGTAGCTGGGGTTACAGGCATGTGCCACCACACCTGGCTAATTTCGTATTTTTGGTAGAGGCAGGGTTTCACCATGTTGCTCAGGCTGATG